TAGGGAAACTCTTGACTGGTCCCATTTAAGTCTGAAAAGACATTATACTGTTGTAGGTCTTGCGGAGGACAACTGAAAGGCACGGACTGGTTTGAGTTCCAATTTGCAAACACGCCATTGACTTGCATATGCTTCAGTTTCTGACATAGTTGTTGCTGTGGCTCCACTACTACTTGCTTCTGGTGGTGCTGTAGCTGCTGCTGCTGCTGTTCTAACTGTAGGTGTTCCTGTATCATACAGCTTGAGTTCAGGGTCATGGACTGTTGCTGCTGGTAACCTGAACACATGAAGGCAGACTTATTTAAAGAATCTTGCACGTATGTCAGGATGTCATCTGTCAGGTCGATGTCTCTGAAGTCAACTTCACCAGGAAACTCAGCTCTGAAAAACCTTTCATTCTGCATGTGTTTGATATCTTCAAAATCGATCCCTAGGTTTTTCATAATGCTGTACAAGTCACTATTTTTATTATCTGTAAAGGACCCTGTGTGACCTCCAGAAAATGTTGAGTTCATTTCCTGAGACTGACCAATTTGTTCATGTTTCAGGACATTATCATTTCCCACTGGCACGATATTGTCTTGCCAATTACTGCATTCATTCATAGATTCATTTAAAAAGTTCGTTTCAAATTGTGCCGTACTTGAAGCAGGGTAGAGATAAATAGACTCATCTTGTTGCATTAGGGCACCCAAGAGAGAACTGGGATTGAGTGAATCCTTATTTAGAGTTGATTTGGAGGCAGAGTCTTTTCCACTAATGCCATTTTTTGTCCTTATTGGTAAGGGATCCATAATAGGAGGAAAGGGACTGGTTACCTCATACAGCACAGCTTCTCCAGTGGTAAACATAAAAGGCAACTTCATATTTCGTTTTCGTAAATGCTCTATCCCTTCTTCCTCTCTAAAATTGTGTACAGAATTTGTTAGAAAGAATTCTACCATAAATATTTGAAAATAAAATATTAAAAAAAGAAAAACAGAATGTAAAATATGCTTTAATTGAATCCAATGGCAGAGAACAGAGACTTAATTTTGTTTGATCTGAATTGGTGCTATAAAATTGACTTTAGGGAAACATTTAAATGATTTCAAATTTTTCTCCCCAAAATGTAGTAGTTAATTTCAGGTTACATCCCTAGCTGACATCCTGCAGGAAAAATGAATTTGTGTGGAAAAAAGATCAAAATACAAAAACTATAAGAACTTAGAAATCTGAGCAGGAGAGGCCTATATAAGTAAAACATAAAACCAAGATGCTATAAAGGAAAAGGAAAAGACTGGCATAATTGGCAATATGAATATTTAAAAAATATTTTATTATTGCAAAATAATTTCTAAATCAAGACATTGAGAACATACTTATGAATATATATATTTATGATTCGTATCTATAATAAGAAAAGAACACCAATAAGTCAATAGAAAAGGCAAATAACTCAATAGGAAAGCAAGCAAATGATATGAATTGGTAATTCATAAAAGAAAAATACTCTAGGGAACCAGCAGTTAGCGTAATGGCTATGTCGCTGGACTCCCACGTAGTCGACCGTGGTTCGCATCCGGGACCCGGTGGCTTAAAACTCACGCCGGGCGCGTGTGTGTGTGTGCCCAAGATCCCGAGAGGAGAATGGAGGAGAAGGGATTGCGGCATGACCATCTCCCCTGGGGGGTAATTTCTTGCTTTCTGTCTCTGTGTCTGTCTCTGTCTCTCTGGCGAGCACACACGCCCTATAGCGAAAACCTCTCAAAAAAAAAAAAAAAGTAAAAGAAAAATACCCTAGAAAAATACAAAGAAATGTCTTGCCTCATTAATAATAAGAAAATGAAAACTAACCTTAGTTACTAATAGAATCAGCACACAAAATATCAGCAAATGCATAAAAATATGAGCAAGAGCAACACAGTTCATAATTGGCAGATATATAAAGAACACCATACAGTTAAAAAACTGCTGGTCCCACTTCTAGATTTTTGATCTAGGGATTCCATTCTGATAAACCCATCTCAGATTCAAAGAACTATAGGTCCAACAACTATGAATCAGGGACTGACTGCATATATGTACATACGAGTTGTGTACTTACATAGGGAGGTACATATATTCACAAATATACGTTTATTTACCATGTTCCTGGACTGAAAGACTCAGTACTAGAAAGGTGCTAATTCTCCCTAAATTATATACAATTTTACTGTAATCTCATTTAAAATCCAAATAGCTTTTCTAGTGAGAATTGACAACTGATTTGTAAAATGTATATGGAAATATAAATAGTGAAGAACTAAGGCAATTTTGAAAAAGAACACACACACACACACACACACACATAAAGCCAAAGCAAAAAAAGAGAAGCATTCGGATACATAATCTTGTGATTAAAACAATGTGATTTCGGTGTAAAATAGAACCAGACTGATCTAACTATTGAGTCATTAGAAAAGTCATTATGTATTTTCTGTTTTTCTCTGCAAAAATGGGTCATGACTTTTCTGAGGGTCCAAGAGAATAACAGGGCCCAGAAATCCTCTGATCAAAATGGAGTGCAGTGGGGAAAAGATGACCTTTTCAATGAGCCATCATTTTACTACGTATCAACTGGGTATATGTAGAAGAGGAAAAAATCAATTTTGATTCTTACACCTCAAGCTACATGCAAAAATCAATTCTCCAGGATGGGAAAAACATTTGCAATACAAACACTGTGAAAGGACTTATTTCTAGAATATATAATAAACACACAAATCACTGCTGTGCGTAGAGAACATATTTTAAACAAAGAACTGTTACAATTTTCTTTTACTTTAGCTTTTATTCTAGCTTTTTATCTTTCCTTCAAATGCTCAGGATAAAACCCTAGAGTTTTTTTTCATTGATTATTCCCTTTCTGTTGCTGTACATATTTAGTCGTTCAATAGTATCTGTCAATTTTATCTTTTCCATGTCTCTCATCTGTGCCCTCTTCTTTCTATACATATTATCTTTTCAGTTTTTATTTCTGAGGCAAATTCTCTTAGAATTAGTTTAAAAATTTCATGTCAAACCAAATTGTTATTAAGATGAAAAACAAAAACAGGTAACATTCTCAATCTTTGTACTTACGTTAGTGGTCTCTGAGTTGCAATAATATAATCCGGTCTTCCATTTTTATAAACTAAGCGTGCATTAGACTGGACCCATGTCCATCGATTGCCTTTCGTCAGAAGCCTAAAAACTATCATGCCACTCTCTCCAGTCTTAATCACTAAAATAAAATTTTAAAATTAAATTATTAAACCCCAAATCAATATATTAAATCCCTGAAACAAGGCTGCACAGACATATTTCTGGATGTATTTTAATCATTACCAAATGTAATAAATACTGACAAGTTTTAAATGTAGTATATTAAAAGGCATAAAGATAGTTCTCAAAAGTCTTTTCCCCTTATACTGGACTAAATTTATTACTTATAATGTTAAAGGGAAGATTAGTACCAGTCAGATGATTTTAGTGTTACATGAAAATAGAGAAAAAGTATGGCTAGGAGTCAGAGAGAGATTAAAAGTGTTTTAATTTTAAATAGGAAATACTTCCTGCAGTTTAGTATTTTATAATTTGCAAGTCTGAACCAACGTTAACACAGATTTATGAATTAATAATGATGCCATTAGAAAATTCCTGAGAAAAACTTCATGGATCAAAGTACTCATTTTCATAGTAATTAAACTACTATATTCCCATGTGGCAGCTATAGAGGAGTTAATAAGTAGAGTAAATCTGGTTAAGAATAGTGATGTAATACTAAGCAGAAGTTATATCAAATAGATGTCTTCAAGACATAACCTTAGGTAATAATTGGGAACATATACTAGAGGATAGGTCATTTTTCTGACATGCTTACAAAGAATGCCAACTTACTCCGGATATGGGATTCAGCACAATACAGCATATCGGCAGCATGAAGAAACTGATATCCTGACCCACTCGTGCACAGCTCTGCCTCAGTATATCCTAAAACAATTTTCCCTCTGTTGAAACAAAAAGGCAAAAAAAGATCAATTTAAATTTTTTATATTTATTTCATTAATAACACACACACACACATAAGCAACCTCAACAGGGTCTCACTCCACAATACCCCCAGCCTTCCCAACCAGCCAGGACCATGGGCACACACCTAACACATGCAATCAACTGTCAAAGTGAACCCATGTTCTCCCGCATGGATTAAGAATCACTAGAGAAGGGAATTACTGCTGTTCACTCTGTCAAGCCATAGAGTGAATGAAAATGTAACATAAATGAAGCAACCCAGATAAAGTCATTGGGTATATACTATGTTTTACTTGACAATCAACATTGTTAGGTTTCGTTTGTTTCTTTGTTTGCAATGCCAGACAGAGACAATGACCAAAAAGAATGAAAAAAATAACCAAAAAAAAAAAAAAAAAGAGGACATCATATGGGAAATTCTGGATACCATGAAATACCCAAATATCCATATAATGGATATTACAGAAGGTGAAGAAACTGCTAAAAGCATAGAAAAACCTCTTTCAAAAAATATCTGCAAATTTTCCAAAGATAGAAAAACATGGAGAAATTCAGACCCAAGAAATAAAAAGGATCCCATATAGAATCAACACCAAAAGATCCTCCCCACTGCATTTAATAGACAGATTGGAAAAATCAAAGACAAAGACGATATTCTAAAAATGGCAAGGGAGAAATGTCAAGTTACTTATAAAGATTATTCCATTAGGTTAACATCAGACCTCTCCACTGAAAAAATGTAGGCAAGGAAAAAATGGGAAGATGTATTTAAAACATTAAAAGAAAAACAATTTCAGCCAAAAATACTATAACCAACAAGATTATCCTTCAAATGGGAAGAACAAATAAAGGTATTCTCAGGTAGACAAAGACTGAAATAATTCACCAATAATAGACCAGTTCTATAGGAAGCACTGAGGGGAGTGCTTTATTAGGATAAATAGAGACAGACACAAAAGGAGAACAAAAAACAAACGAGAAAATGGCTAATAAAATGACAGGGATATGTCTGCATGTATCAATATTAATGAATTAAATTCTCCCATTAAAAGACACAGACTGGCTGAATGGATACAAAAACAGAAGCCACCTATATGCTGCTTACATGAAACACACCTCACTGATAAGGACATACATAGACTGAAAGTGAAGGGCTGGAAAAAGATATTCCATGCAAATGGAAACCAAAAAAAAAAAAAAAGGCTGGAGTTACTATACTGGTATCAGACAAAATAGACTTTAAGATGAGAGATATAAGAAGAGACAAAGAAGGACATTATATAGTACTTAAAGGACTTGTTGACCAAGAAGATACAACACTTGTAAATATCTATGTATCTAACACTGGAGCACATAAACACATCAAAGACAATTAGATCTCAAAGGAGAGAGGGCTGCAACACAATAATTGTAGGGAATCTTAACATCCCACTGTTTCCTCTAGACAGATCATCTAGACAAAAAATAAACAAAGATACAAGAACTAAATGATACTATACATGAAAAGGACTTGACAGACATCTACAGAGTATTTCACCTAACTACCAGAAAATATACATTTCTGTCACCCCTCATGGGACATTTTCAAAGACTGACCACATGATAGAGCACAAAGCAAGCCTTTACAAATTCAAATGTAGAGAAACTACATCTAGCATGTTTCCCAACCAGAATGGATTCAAAATTGGCATCTACTACAGAAAGAGCCCTCAAAAATTCATAAACACATGGAAACTAAACAACCTACTCCTGAATGACTTTACAACTACAGAAGAAATTACGACTAAAATCAAAAGGCTCATACAAACCAATGATAATGAACAAATATGTGTTTATAACCTCTGGGATACAGCAAAAGCAGTCGTAAGAGAGAAATCCATAACAATATGTGCCCACAAGGAAAAAGCAGAAAGGTGGCAAATAACCTAATGGCATAATTTAGGGAACTGGAAAATAAAGACAAAACCCAAAAAAATTCCAGGAGAAAAGAAATAGTAAAGATTCAAGCAGAGATAAATATAAATGAAAGAGAGAGTAAAAGAACTATACAGAAAATAAACAAAACCAAAAGCTGGTTATTTTAAAAGATAAACAAAATTGACATACCATTAGCTGGATTAATCAAGAATAACAGAGAAAGGAACTAGATAAGCAAATCAGCAAGTAAGCAGGCATTATTACAATGGATATAACAGAAATACAAAATATCTTCAGAGAATACTATGAATGACTATATGCCAACAAACAAAAAAACCTAGATGAGATGGAAATACTTCTGGACACGTATAACTTAACAAGATTGAACAAGGAAGAAACAGAAAATCTGAATGGATCCATAACAAGCAATGAAACTGAATCAGTAAAAGATAGTCTCTCAACAAAGAAGAGTCCAGGTCCCGATGGCTTTACTTTTGAATTCTACAAAATTTTTAAAGAAGATCTAACCTCAAATCTCCCTAAACTATTCCTAAAAATTCCAAAAGAAGGAACCCTCCTGAATTCATTCTATGAAGCCTCTATCTTCATAATTCCAAAACCTGACAAGGACATGACAAAAAAGGAAAACTGCAGGCCAATATCCCTGATGAATACAGATGCAAAAATTCTCAATAAAATACTAGCAAATTGTATTCAACAACATATTAAAAGGAATATACACCATGGTCAAGTAGGCTTTATATCAGGGATGCAAGGATGGCTCAATATATGCAAAACAATAAATATAATAAATCACATTAACAAAAGGAAAATTAAAAAAAACATATGATTATATCAATTGATGCAGAAAAAGCATTCAATAAAATACAACATCTCTTCAGGATTAAGACTCTCAGCAAAATCGGTGTAGAAGGGACATTCCTAAACATAATAAAAGTCATCTATGAAAAACCCACAGAAAACATCATACTGAATGGGGGAGAAGCTGAAAGCTTTTCCACTAAAAGCTGGAAAAAGACAATGCTGCCCACTTTCTCCACTCTGTTTTTATTTTCTTTTAAGAGAGGTTTTTGCTATATAGCACATGCGCTTACCAGAGAGACAGAGATAGAAAGTGAAAAATCACCCCCTGGGGGAGATGGCCATGCCACTATCCCTCTTCCTCCAGTCTTTGCTCAGAATTTTGGGTACACATGCATATGCGCCCAGGTGAGTTTTAAGCCACTGGGGCTAGGACTCGAACTGGGTTTGAGTACGTGGGAGTCCAGCAATGTAACCATTATGCTATCTGCTGGTCCTTTATAACACAGTATTGGAAGTTCTAGTCAATGAAATTAGAAAGGAGAGTTAAATAAAAGGCATCAAAATAGGAAAAGAAGAAGTAAAATTCTATTTGCAGATATGATGCTATATATAGAAAGTCCAAAAGAATTTAAAAAAAAAAAAAAAAACACCCTCCTGGAAAAGATAAATGAATATAGTGAAGTGGCAGATTCAAAATCAACATATAAAATCTGTAACATTTTCATACACCAAACATGGACAAACTGAGACAGAATTGAAGAAAGAAATCCCATTTACAATAGTCACAAAACCAGTAAGTTATCTAGAAATAGTCCTTAACAGAGACATCAAAGATCTCTACAAGGAAAACTATGAAACACTAGGAAAAAAATTAAAAATGATACAAAAAGGTGGAAAAACATCTCATGTTCCTGGATTGGAAGAATATAATCAGGATGTCAATCCTACCTAAACTAATCTACAAATATAATGCAATTCCAATCTAACTACCAGAGTTATTCTTCACAGAAATAGAAAAAAAAATCATAAAATGTGTCTGGAAGCATAAAAGGTCCTGTATTATCAAGGAAAAATTGTGCAAGGAGAATAAAGTAGGAGGCATCTCACTTCCTGACCTCAAAACATAGTACAAAATTGTAGTAATTAAAACAGCATGGTATTTGCACAAAAACATTTGACAGGTAGGTCAATGGAATAGAATTGAGAACCCACAAATAAACCCACGACATACAGCCAACTGATCCTTGACAAAGGGCACAAGACAATACAGTGAGGAAAAAAATCTCTTCAGCAAATGGTGCTGGAAGAACTGGATATTCACCTGCAGAATAATGAAACTGGATCCTTATGTCTCACCCTTAACAAAAATTAACTCAAAACTGAATGAGGACCTTAATCATAAAACCTCAAACTATAAAAATGCTGGTGAAAAACACAGGGAACAGTCTTGGAGATCTTGGAATAGACAAAGAGTTCTTAAAGAAGACCTCTAAAGCACAAGTAATAGTCTCCAAAATAGAAAAATGGGATTATATTAGGCTAAGAAGCTTCTGTACAGCAAAAGAAACAAATAATAGAGTGAGAAGACAACCCTCAGAATGGGAGAATATATTTGCAAACTATACCTCAAAGAATGGACTGATAGAATATACAGAGACAAATAAATAAAAAATACAATCACAAAAAAATAATCCAAATAAAAGATGGGAAAAGGAGTTGAACGAACAATTCTCTAAAGAAGACATATGAACAGCCCAAAAGTATATGAAAACATTATCATAAAGGAAATGCAAATCAAAACCACAATGAGATACTGCTTAAACCCAGTCAGAATGGGTACAATTAAAAATAATAATAATAATAATAAGCGCTGGCGAGGCTATGATGATAAGGGAACTCTCCCACAGTGCTGATGAGAATGCAAATTAGTATGATTGCTTTGGAGACTGATCTGGAGATTCCTCAGAAACCTACAAATAGAACTACCGTATGACCTAGTAATTCCACTCTTAATTATTTACCCAAAGGACAGCAAAACCCTCAGCTGGAAAAACACTTGCACATCCATGCTTTTTGCAGCATTATTTACAATTGTTAGGACTTGAAATTGACCCAAATGTCCAAAAACAGATGAACGTTTGGAAGGTATATTACAAGGAGGAACTGTAAATGCTAGAGATAGTAGGGTTAGGGTAATATGGAGATGGGGAGGAGAAGGAGGGGGGGAGGGGAACAGAGGAAGAAAAAAAGGTACATTTAATTGACAAATGAGCTATTTGCCAATGATAACATAAATAGTAATCTTTGTCTTGACTGATATGCATGGTATTTGTGCTGGGAGAAGGAATGTTGTACACTGTAAAAATACATGTGATTATATGTAAATTTAAATTTAAAAAATTAAAAGTAAATAAATAAATAAAACCACACGTAAGCGTGCACATGCGCACACACATCTTCAATACTTATACTCCATTTTTGGGGTATTTTCAAATTACCTTTTTGTATTCCCACACTAGAAAGTATTGATAGGGTTTGGTATGTATAAATGCTTAATATCAGACTCTATTAATTTTCTGAAAGTTACTAATTTCTAGAGCTAAAGATCAAATAAACATTTGCCAAATTAAAAAATGTGAAACCAGTAATAGCAATTGAAATCACAAGAATGAACCTTAATAATATAAGTACGTCATTTTTGTGTAAAGTATTACCAAAAAATCGTAAGATAATTTGTGAATCTAAGGAAATTAGTTTACTTTAAAAGGCTAAAGTGAGTGGACAGAAACAAAATAGTAGCTAATATAACAGTAAAAAGTACTATAATCAATACAATGATTTACACATTAACAGGACTTACTGAAACAAAATACATGTGTGATGAAATAAAAGAGAACAGGTTTCACTCACTTGGCATCACAAGCAGTAGGTGTAAAGTCTAGTTTGTGTTTGGTCCTAAAGATAAAATTTTTGGTTCGGATTTCAAGTATGGATGGAGGCTGAAGTGGAGTAGCTATAGCAAACAAAGCCAGCTGAGGGGGAAGTATTGAGCCATCTTTTCCTTTCTTGTTCTGTCCATGAAGATACTTTAACCTCCCTTGGAAATTCATTGCCTTAAAAAAAACAAAAACAGTTCACTATAAGCCACAGAATGAAAGCGATCCTTTTTAGCCAGCTCCATCATGGCTGCTTCCAGAGTTCCTGAACATTCAAAAAAATGTGCTGGAGGCTGGGAACTGCTCATTTTTTTCACTCTTCCCTCTAAAGGAAGTCTATTCCAACTATCGCAGAAGACAGTGTGAAAATATCCTGAAAGGACTGATAAGGAGCTTGTTTCTAATGGTCATTACAGGAATAACTGCATCATTTTCTGAGCTGCAACTGCTCTACTATTTTCACTTGATACACTCAATATATTGGTTGTCGGAAAAGTCATGATTTATTTTACAATAGAAAAACATAAAAATTTTATGACTTTTCTGACAATCCAATATATCTCCGGAGTGAACAGTAATAAACTCATCAAGAAAATATCAACTTTCAAATATATGTGAGCTACATCCCATAGTTCATGGTATTCTTTCCTATAGAGACAAAATACGATTTTATTAAAACATTAATATGGATCATTATAAAATCATATAAAGAATGCAGAGCTTGGGTCAGCCCATAGTATAATGGTTAAAGTGGCTGGATCCCACATGGCTGATGGCATGGTTCAAGTCTTGAACCTGGTGCCTTGATGAACACACTGGGTGTATGTGTGTGTGCCTATATGCCCAAAATCCCAACAGCAAGGAGAAATGGAGACAGGATGACAGGATTGCAGTATGACCAATCCCCTAGGGTTATATTCTTTCTCTCTCTCCCTCTCTCTCTCTCCTGAGTCCATTCGCCCTCTGGAAAAATTTTTTAAAAGTGTGTAGAGCTATATTACAGTAAAAATAAAAAGTTACTTCAGGAGACAGAGAAACCAAAGAAAATTTAAATACAAATATGATCAATTTAGTTGGTTAAAACAGTATTAGCCTGGGAACCAGCAGATGGCAGAATAGTTACATCACTGGACTCCCACAGTCGCCCACAGTTCAAGTCCTGGACCTGGTGGCTTAAAACTCACGCCAGGCATGTGTGCATGTGTGTCCAAGATCCCGAGAGGAGAGTGGAGGAGAAGGGATTGTGGTGTGGCCATTCTCCCTGGAGGTGATTTCTGACTTTCTGTCTCTCTCTGTTTCTATAGCAAAGTACATATGCCCTATAGCAAAAATCTCTCCAAAATAAAAACAAAACAAAACAAAACAAAACGACAGAAACAGTATTAGCCAGGACAATTCTGATCTCCATCTGTTAGCAGCACAAATAAGAGAGATCCTAGTGAATACAGAAATTCCACTGCAGAAATACATATCAATTAATTTTTTTTTTTTGAGAGGTTTTTGCTATAGGGTGTGTGCGCTCGCCGGAAAGACAGAGAGACAGAAAGCGAGAAATCACCCCCTGGGGGGATGGCCATGTCGCAATCCCTTCTCTTCCATTCTCCTCTCGGGATCTTGGGCACACATGCACACGCGCTCGGTGTGAGTTTGAGCCACCGGGTCCGGGACTCGAACCATGGTCGACTAAATGGGAATCCAGCAACATAGCCGTTACGCTAATTGCTGGTCCCCATACTAATTGATTTTGAGCACCAGTACTACACTAGAAAAACTACCTCAAAGCACAGTTCTAACTCTGGTCAGCCAAATTATCTTAAAAAATAAACATACCCAAAAAGCATGGCTTGGTCATATATACCTTAAGATTTGATTATCTGTTTCAAGTTCCTGATAATTTACAAAAAGAATATGCAACATGCTTTATATTTTCTTCTCTTGTACCTGGTAGAGTGAACTGTCCTAAGGATATAATTAAGAGGACAGACTACCTCCACTCTGAGCAGCCTGCCTAAGCAGCTCCTTGAAGTTGACCCACACAAGTGTTCATACTATGTAATGAGAAGCAGTGTCTCATATCAAGAAATGATGATTCTGCAATCATGAATAAACAACCATTTTTCCAGATAGCAGTTATTCTAGACATGTGGAAAAACCCATGATTTTCCTGTTTGGCAGGCATTAAATTGATAGCAAGCATCTTCCTATTAAAAAAAATAATAAAAACTAGTGGGGCCAGCAGGTGGTGTAGTGGTTAAGGCACTGGACTCCTCCTTGTGGCCGACTGTAGTTTGAGTCCCTGACCCAGTGAATTGAAATTCATGATGGGCATGTGTGCGTGGGTGCCCAAAATCCCAAGAGGAGAATGGAGAAGGGATTATGGCTTGGCCATCCCCTCTGGGGGGTGATTTCTTGCTTCCTTTACTTCTATCTCTCTTGGAGAGCATACCCTATAGCAAAAATCTCTCAAAAAAACAAAACAAACAAAACAAAACAATACAAAAAAAAAAAAAAGCTAGGTAATTTTCTGCTTTCTATCTAAAGAGTCCTGCAAACAGTCAGAATACAAGGTCCCATGTTATTTCACTCAATCTTTGTTACTCAATACTGAAGGATAAAATTTTCTGAATTATAGAAAACACTGGAAATCTGAAATAATGATTTTAAAAAGTTTCTTTCTTTTATCAAATAATTTGGTAGTACATTCAAAAAACCTAACTCAAATATAACCAACGAAAATTGGCTTTGCTTAATTTTCCATTTCTTTTTTTTTAATTGCCAGAGGGTACATGTATTCACCAGAGAGAGACAGAAAGACGCACCCAGAGAGAGAGTGGGGAAAAAGCACCTCTCAATGGGGCATGGTCGCATTATAATCCCTTCTCCTCCATTTCTCCATCTTTAGGATTTTAGGCATGCATGCATATGTGCCTGGTATGTTTTTCAAGCCACAGGGGCCAGTATTTGAATTGCACTCGGCCATGCAGGATCAGGCTCCCTTAGCCACTAAGCTAAGGTCTAGTCCAACTTTTCTTTTTCATTTTCTGTAACTTAATAGTACTAAAAATAAGTTTGGTTTGAAGATGTCTCCATACTTTGAGTCCTTACCTAACTAACTGCAGCCTAATTTTGTACAGAAAGTAACAGAAAGCCTAAGTTAAAAGTTAACAAATAGCTGAGTCTCAGTAGATCACAGAAGATAAACTTCACTCACAAGCAGCTGATCCAGGGTTAAATAACACACTGGGTCCCATCGAGCAAGCTGTTTTTGGACCTCACTTGCACGTTCTACATATAAATGCTGCCTGCCTACACTGCAAAGCATAGTTCTCTGAACCTCTTCAGTTCTGATGGCCTACCCAACTCAGGAACTGTTCCCTGCTTAATCTGTCCAAAGTTTTTAGTTTGATGACAGTAAATGTTGGTAAGATTTTGCACTTTACCAGGAAGCCAGATGAATTATCCAATAGACACCTTAGTCGGCATATGAAGCACCGCTCCATCAATGAACTGTTTTCTGGAGGAAGTTGGTCGGAGTTACAATAGACCCCTGGCTGTGCGAGGCCATGAGCTTCTGTAGGAATGAAAACAACGCAAAGTTTATTTTCTTTTTTCTTTCTTTTTTTTTTTTTTTTTTTTGAAGACTTTTGGCAAAAGCGAAATA